CGGAACGCGGCTTCAGCGGGGGGCGTGCGAGATCTGCGGCCGCAAGTCTTGCTTTGACTTTGCGCTCAAGCTTTTGACCTCAGGCTGTGCTAACTGAAAGCAGCTTTTCCTGCAGACCCCTCTTGAGCGAGGGTGGCCCGTAGCGGCAGCGATAAGCTCCAGGTGGGAGCTGCCCGGCTGTGGTTAACAGTGCGGGGGAGCGCTCGGATCTCGTGTCCCAGGTGGGCCTGAAAAGCAGTAGCGAAGTAATATGTTTGTATAGGGTGTCCTCTAATGGCTTCGTCTTCTGGTGAGAAGATGTCTCTGCTAGTAAAATAACTATACTGTGGTATTACTCTTGGCTGCTCAAGTGCTACAAGTTGCACTAAAGACTGGATCGCTGAGCTAGATGTACTCTCTCCTTGTGCTGAGGAAACAGTTAAACACCACAAAGAGGTGACTAAGCTCTGTAGGATTGCTAGAGACCTTGCTACTTCCCCAAACTCACACAAGTTCCTTTAGGGCTAAGGGCCTGCTGTGTGCACTAATAATGCTGTCAAACATAAGGCTCTGTAGCTAAACTACTATGAAATGCTGTGAAGCATGGATTTGTTCCCCCTCTAGGGACCAGCACATGGCAACTATATTGTCTGTAATGTTTGTTCAAAAAGTGTGGTGGAAGAAATGACAAAACTGACTTCTTTCCTGTATGGGCTTTCCAGAGTTGTCTCATCAACCAGAAGATGGCAACGCTAATCCTTATTGATAAGGAGAATGGTGAAGTTGGCGCTAAGAATCAGCTAAGACTCCCTTCAGGATCCTGTGCGTATATGGTGCCCTAAGCTAGTAGGGGATCAAGTGCATAAATCATGTTTTGTTAATCACTGTTTTGAACAGTAATAGCTTTCTATTCTTGTATCTACTTATCCAACCAACTCTGTTAAGATCATCAATTACTATAAAAATGAAAATAAGTCTGTACTTCTGGTCACACATGGCGCTTACACTCCTGAATTAAATGGTGAACAATGATTTCTATGACAACTAGTTTTCTAGCGCACATACTGAAGCAAGAGTTAGGTTGATATGGTGTTAAAGTTTGCTTTTCTTCTCTGCCCCACCCAGCAAAAGTTTTATCTGAAAGAACACAAGTTAACACTCCACTTCCTAAAAAAATCAGTACATCTCCAGCCACATCTCTCTCTGTCAGAAAGGCTCTTGGAAATGTGAACAGAACTGAAGGAATCACAAGCAAGATGGAAAAGATAGGACCAAAAAATCAGCCTTGTACTGCAAACAAAGTGAGTACAACACCCTTCTAAGGGACATGAGGGAAATGCATAGTTAACTGCCTGCCAGGGTTAAGCCACAACAGTAAGTACCACACAGCTGCTTGCTCACCCCACTCTGTGGGATGGGGGAGAGAATTGGAAGAGTTTAAGTTTTAAAGAGTTAAAGTTCCAACTCATGGGTTGGATTAAGACAATTTAATTATTAAAAATCTCAAAGGAAAGAAACCAAATTTTTCAGCAGCAGCTGACTGATGCCTTGCCAGTCCCTGAGCAATGGTAGCCCTGGCAAATTTCCCTGCCAGTTTTCATTGCTGAGCATGATGTCACATGATATAGAATATTCCTTGCATCAGCTCTTCCAGCTGTGTCTTCTCACAATTCCTTCTGCACACCCAGCCTACTCTCTGGTGGGGTTATGAGAAGCAGAAAAGGCCTTGGTTCTGTGTAAGCACTGCTCACCAACAGCTAAAACAGTTGTGTATCAGCACTGTGTTTGTCATGAATATAAAACATGGTATCATATGAGCTACTAAGAAGAAAAATAAGTATCCTAGCTGAAACCAGTACACCTACATAGGCACAAGGAGTACAACAGCTTAGGGGGTACCTAATGGCAAAGCAAGTGGCTCTAAAGAAAATAGTCTGAGTTTGTCTTGCTCATCTGTTAAGTATCAGGAGTTCAGTGTTATGAGCATATATGTTCTAGTGCAGTGACTTGTTGCCACCATATATAATACTGCACTACACAAACTCAGCTGAAGCATTGGCTTATTTCCAGCTTATTTGTGTTGAAGTTATTAGAATTTAGGCATAACTGAGGACTCTATGGCAGCCATTCTTGTCTGTAGACCTGTATAGCACAGGAAAGCCACTACAGTGGGGAAAATACAGCAGCTCAAATAATGTGGCTTTTTCTTTTTAAGGTTACTGAAAAGACTGCTGGATTAGAAAGCTGTGATTCAGTGGCTGAAGAAGAGTGGCCAGAAATAGAAAATATGTTTCCTTTTGATCCTAGAGGTAAGAACTATAGCATAAATATTTAAATGAACAATCTGGCTTTTTGAGTGACATTTGTTGTAAGGCTTTGGCCAAGCTATTGTGGTAAACAAGCTAGCATTGCATTTCTCTAGAGTCCTTTCTTAAACATAAGGATGCTTGTGTCTTCTGAAATAGTATCTCTGTCTTGTTTATTTCTAACTGCAATATCTGTGCTCCTATATGTAGTAGTTGGAGTCCATTATTATGGTGGCAGGAAACTAGTTCCAAATAAGAGGCTATTGTGTGCATGGTTAATTCATTAAATAGGAACTAGTAGACAAGTATTCAAAAGAATACCTAAGCAGTACTGAAGACTAGCCCTCTCAAAGTATGCCAAGATAGTAATTTGTAACGGAAAAGATTCCTACTGCTGTAGGATATAATAGAATCATAGAATGGTTTGAGTTGGAAGGGACTATCTAGTTCCACCCCCCCTGCCATGGGCAGGGACACCCTCAACTAGACCAGGTTGCCCAAAGCCCCATCCAACTTGGCCTGGAAGAATTCCAGGGATCCAGAGGCAGCCACAGCTTCTCTGGGCAACCTGCTCCAGTGCTTCACCACTCTCGCAGTGAAGAATTTCTTCATCTAATCTAAATCTACCCTGCTTGAGCTTAAGGCCATTAACCCTTGTCTTACTGCTGCAAGCCCTTGTAAACAGTCCCTCTCCAGCTTTCTTGAAGGCCCCTTCAGGTACTGGAAGGCTTCTATAAGGTCTCCTTGGAGCCTTCTCTTCTCTAGGCTGAACAACCCCAACTCTCTCACCCTGTCCTCACAGGAGAGGTGCTCCAGCCCTCTGATCATTTTCATGGCCTCCTCTGGACTTGCTCCAACAGGTCCATGTTCTTTTTATGTTGGGGACCCTAGAGCTGAATATAGTAATCCAGGTGGGAATGTGGGACCTCATGAGAGCAAAGGCACAGAATCATCTCCCTTGACCTGCTGGTCATACTTCTTTTGATAAGTATTAGTATGTGGGATTTTATGGATAACTAAAGTGTAACTGCAAATAAATACCCCATAAGAGTAGATTGTTGGATTGTCTTGGACCTGCTCCCACTTCATTTAATCTTGGAGAACTTGCAGCTTCCCAGGCTACTGCTGCTGTACACTGTTACTAAACTAGTGTGTCTTTCTCAAACAGACTTTGAGAGTTTTGATCTTCCTGAAGAGCACAAAGTAAGCAATATCAACCTGCATGGTGTTCCCCTCATGGTATTTGAAAGTACGTATGACAGATACGTGAACATGGTTCCTTCACCTGTGAAGATCGAAGAAATTTCATGGGAGTCTAGTAAGTGGAAACATAGCATGAGTTTCAGTACATGCAAGGCTTGTTAGTGGTTTGGGAGGGAAGGTAGTTGGCTTCAGTAGTGAACTGCCACTGCTGTCCTAACTACAGCAATAGCATGCTAGTATCAAACAGCTTTTGGTGTACAGTCAAGCTGAATTTAACTTGTCAACCCTAGTAGTAGAGGTAGTGGTCTCAAAGTGATATTGCTGAGCAATCTCTTGCAGTGCATTGCCAACTGATCAGTTAGGTGGAACTGGCTTATGCAATCAAACTATTTCCCTTGGTCATACAAGAAGCTTATGCTAATCTGCTGGGAGCTAGCTTATGTTAGAGAATATAAATTCTGGGTTTCATGAAAAACTGATTTACTCTATTTCTAACTTTCAGAGTTGCTACAATCAACTACTGACTTCCTTGCTACCCTGGATGAGATCATTGACATGCCACCTCCAAATTATGACCTTTAATGCATATTCTGAAGCTTTTATTGAGTTTAAATTTCATGTGGTTCTAGATTTTAATAAAGGCTAATCTAACCTGTATAATACTGGACTTGTCTATTTTCAGTAGACCCAAGATATATGTAGTGAAAGAGTGCTTTAAAAAGGAGGCTATCTGACAAGCAATTAAGCAGAGCCTGGATAAGCTTTTAAGCAAGACTAATTCACTGTTGTGAACCATATCCAGGACTTAGTACCTGCTGATTAGACTGTGGTCATGATAAGTTAAGAGGCCCTTCTGACTTCACTGTTTACATAACTTTATCCATTAAACATGCAAGGGTTTAAAACTGATCTTTATATCTAGTGTTGTGTTAATTTTGGCTGGAAAGAGTTAACTTTTTCCAAAGTAGCTAGTATGGGGCTATATTTTGGATTTGTGCTGAAAACAGTGTTGCTATTAGAGCTGGCTTTGTTATTGTTGAGCAGTGCTTATGCAGTCAAGGCTCTTTCTGCTTCTCATACTGCCCTGCCAGCGAGTAGGCTGGGGATGCACAAAAAGTTGGGAAGAGACAGCTGGGATAGTTGACCCTGACTGACCAAAGGGATATCTCATAACATATGATGTTGTGCTCAGCATATAAAGCTGGGGGAAGGAAAGATGTTTGGAGTGATGGCATTTCACTTCCTAAGTGACTGTTAGGCATGCTGGAGCCCTGCTTTCCTGGAGATGGCTGAGCACCTGCCTGTTAATGGGAAGTGGTGAATGAATTCCTTGTTCTGCTTTGACTGCTCAGCTTTTGCTTTACCTCTTAAACTGTCTCTATCTCAACCCAAAAGCTTTCTCACTTTTACTCTTCTAATTCTCTCCCCCATCCTGCTGTGGGGGGAGTGAGTGAGCAGCTGGGTAGTGCTTAGTTGCTGGCTGGGGTTAAACCATAAGTGTAAATTCAGTACTAGAGCTAGTACTCTTCTGATGTTTCCTCTCTTTAACTTGTTTCTTCTTCAGTGGTTGCCTATATGTTGGATTCTCATGCAGCTGTAGACTACTCTTAATTGTCACAGCATTATGTGGCTCTAGTTGCTGGATGCTGTTTGTGTTCTGTGAGGAAAGGCTGGAGGAACCCCACCCTTCAAATTAAAGCACACAGGTTCAATAACCTCTTCTCTTGCATTGTGAAGGCCTCAACTTCAGTTCTTCATCACATAAAACAAGTCAGTTGTAGAGGTAGTCAGCATTCGCCAAAGTTAAAATGCTTTTGTGGTTCCTGGTCAGTACTCTGATCTAGTCAGACTACAGCAGCCTGCGCTGCCTTCAGCTTTTAGCTCATCCTTAAAATGACTGTCAATGCTGTGCCTGTGTTCTGCCCATCTCCTAAGGAAAAAGGCCTTTCTGGTCTCCATGATGCACCTGAGCTCTGAACAGGAGGAATGGCCATGTCAGATGTACCATTAACTCACTGTGGCACTATATGTAACTGCAAGCAGTGGCAAGACCAGCTTTTCAGCACACTTTCAGTAGCGTCTGAAGTAACAAGAAATACGCTTTCATGATTGTAAGTCGACTAAAAGATGAAAATGTTCTAGCTGAGGAACAGGGTTAATTTGGTGTAGGTCAGTGCTGCATCCCATGGTTTTGCTTCTTGGAGGCATACGTGGCTGCAACCTGACTGCATGTGAAGAGATGTGAATGTGTAACCATACTCCCTTCATGCTGCTGTTCTTAGGAAACCTAAAAATGCAGGCAGGAAAGGAGGCCTTGTGTTTTCCAATATATTGTCTGTTTTGTAGGTGCTGAAGGGAATGCATTTGCCCTGCTGTGATGATGTAAGTAATGAAGGCTCCTTTCACCCTTGCTAAAGGGTAACAAGCAGAGAATACCCATTTTCACTGTTTCCTAGTTTTGGATGCTTCCTGAAGATGTGTTTCATTTCCTTAATGCTTTTTACTCACAGGAGGTAGATGGGCCTTTTGGGAACTGACCTGTTGCAAATTCTGACTTTTAATGTTAAGACTAGAAATTTGCTGTTGCTGTTTCTTAATTATCAGACATCTGATGAAGTGAGAACAGACATTCTGTTTCTTCCTCAAAGTTGTCAGGGTATTGGTCAAAGTGTTAAACTGTAATGAATTATATAATAGCTGGTCTTTGTCTCCATTTTCTTGTCTTTGGTTTGAAACTTCAAAGAATTCAGAGGAATATCAAACTGTGGTGGGTTGACCCTGGCTGAGGGCCAGGTGCCTACCAGAGCTGCTCTATCACTCCCCTCCTTCATTAGACAGGGGAGAAAAGGTATAACGGAAAGCTTGTGGGTTGAGATAAGGACAGGGAGAGATCATTCTCTAATTATCACGAGCAAAACAGACTGAACTTAGAGAGGGAATTCATCTTATTTATTACTAAGCAAAACAGA